AGTGGGAGAGAGTTTTGCCTCGATGAAGCACCTCGATGCGGACGCCCTCCCTCTTCCAACACTGGCATCGTGCTGGCTTCTGTGAGGGCCAATCCTGCCCAAAGTCTGAGGGAGTTGGAGAGGACGACTTCCACTCCTCGATCCACTATTCACGGCATTCTGAAAGGACGGCTTTCCGCGCCGTTTGCGCGAATCATTCCGCGGTCTCTTACCGCAAGGGAGCGTGCGGTGAGGGTCGATGTGTGTCAGAAGCTCCTCGATCGAGAAAGAACGACGACTTGGGCGAGCTTCATAATTGCTCAGGATGAAAAGTGGATCTCGTACGAAAACCCGGATAGGAAACTGGAGTGGCTGCCGTCGGATCAAAAGCCGGAGCCCGTTCCAAAGCGAGGCTGCCACCGAAGAAGGACTTGCTCTCGTTTTTTCTGCTCCACACCGGCTTGTATTTACTCGCGAGATATCTCATCGGGTACTGACTGTAACATCATCGATAACTGTGAGGCAACTACGAGAGTGGTGTAAAAAGAGCTAACAGTTTCCACCAATACGGGGGTAAGTTCACATGTCATGGACAAGGCCGACCACGATAATGCGAGCGCGACAAGAGGGACGAGCTTGAAAGAAGAGGTTTTGGATAAATGGCGGCCCATCCTCCGTAATTCATCTGACATTAGCCCTTGTGATTAGAGTGCTTTCAGGAGTCTCAGGCTTCACTCTACGCTGCCCGAGCCAACGATGCTCTACCATCAGGATGTCAGGCGACGTATGGTCAATGAATGGCATCACCGGCCTGCTTCCTTCTGGAAGGGAAGGTATCAGGATGGCCCTGCCCAATACGTGGAAGAGAAGGGCTAAGAAGGACCTACTATTTGATTATGATGTTTTCGTTTGGTTGTTGTTTATATGTGTTGAATAAAAGACGGCGATTTTCATCACTTTCCGTAAACCTCTAATAGCTACTCTCGTTCACCAAGTTTCAGGGAGAAATCTCATTCTACTCGACTGTATTATACATCAGCGCTTCTTGAGCTCGAATAAGTGCGGCTATTCACAGCATCACAAATCGGCATGAAGTTTGTTCAAGAGCTATCGCTTGGATACGCGCTTGCTATAGTTTATCATCACTTATTGTTGCCATCAACTCTGGAGAAGACTGCACACGCTCACGATACGCGGTTTGATCCTTGTACAGGCGAGAAGCAAAGATATGACTCGCAGTCTGCAGTGAGCGTGCAAAAATTCTACGCATCCAAAGAGTGCAGGGAACGGGCTATAATTACCAGAGTCTTCGTTACTCGAAGTGGCATGCCTCCATATTAAGAGGTTTACGTCAAACTGTCCGGCACTACTCAGCCAAGAAGGGCTCTTCCAACAAGCCCACGAATATCGGTGGTTTAGGAAACCAGGAAGTTGAAGCAGCAGACAATCGGCTTCTGGTCATGGCCACGTTTGTCTGAATTGCTGTGCAGGCGCAGGGTAGTAAGTGGCGTCGTTTACGGTATCGTACCCGCTTCGCCCCGTGTCCATTGCATTTTGCGGAGAAAGGAAGGCCTGTGTGTGCAAACCCATATATTCGCTGGCCAAGAACGCAGGATCCAACGAATGAAATACAAATATTGTATTTTGGCATTACTTTTTTCGTTGTAACTTCAACAGTTTAGAGTAACGTGTGAGATGTAATCGCTTAATTAGCCTTTCACTCCTGGGACTTGGGCTATATAAGTCAGTACACGTATACAGCTTAGTCACAAGGTTTGAGGAGGTGTTTATCTGTCACCCACATCTGTCCTTATCCTGGCCATTTACGGTGCAAGCTGCGCCAATCTACAGAACGCCGAACCAATGACCTTTCTAACACCTGTTATCATGCCGTATCAGTTATTACCACTTTCTATCAGTTCCCACCAGTATCTACGATCTGCTATCATTTGTCGGAAATAATCTAGCCGTTTTTGGGACGTTCGTTATGAATATGTGCCAGCCGCTCACTGACACGCCTTGCCACAATTGTTGTCATTTTTTGTCACCCATACCTCTTCTTAGAACCGATTCCTCATCCTTGCTAACGGCGCTTCCGGACGCCCAGAAACAGATATAGTAATAGTTCTTGATGAATGGCCGTCTGATGATTGCGGATTGTGGCTCCGCCAGCCCGTTCCCACCCAGTTTGGAGCGTGTGGACCCACTCCAGCAACCGAGAAAACGACTTATACGAACGATATGATGCAGTCTTGTCGCTTGCCGGAAGACTAAACCTCATCTCCCTGATACGCCCCATCATACCCAGCAAACAAGACTGTACTTAGCGAATTCTACACAGTGGAATGAGTATCGCTCTTTCGGATACAATCAATATTGGTGAGCATGTGTTCATGATGGCTCGAAAGCTAAAAGCAGTAAAGGGACTCACTTTTACCATCCTTCGTTTTGGATTTGCCTAAAGTTCAACGTTGAAACAGATTGAAGTAGGAGCATACTATGCAATGGGGAATTCTTACTGCGACGACGACGATGTTGTCCTTGAGGTTTGGATACCGCAGGTCGCTGTGCTGCAGCTACTCTTTCAAATTCTGTATATTCTTCCTCCTAGGTTAGAAAGTAAATCTGCAGTGTGTGAATTTCGCAAGGAAATAACTTCAGGTCATAAAACTTACGTGTGTTTCAGCTACTCCTTTGTATTTATTTTTGTTCAGCCGTGCCAGGTTTATGGGCTCCTTCCTGTCAAAAGACGTTGAGAAAATAGTCAAGAACGACTTTTTTCAAAGCAAAGACATTTTTGGGTGCATGTTCGGAAGACTGAGTGTTGGATTCTCAACTGCCCTTACCTTTTACACCCCTCTTTCCATTTCACACCATCGTCTCGATTCAGTACCAGAGAGCAGTTCAAAAAAAGCTAACCCATTTAGCAATTCACCTAATGTCCGTGGCTCTACCTATCGCCGCTTGTGTTCTTGCCATTCCTCCACTGGTATGTAGAAGAGGTACACTCCATGTATGTATCAAAGTTGGGGAAGGCGTGGCCGCGTACGTTATTCGAAGGTGGATTAAGATTATTTTTCGTGATATATTTTCGTTTTGGGACAACCGCACTGCCTTTGCGCACCACAAGACAGGATGACAGTTACTGAAATAGAAACCTACTACGGGGGACACACTTTGCGCCATGTTCAAATGTGCGCAGCCACGCCCTCTCTATTTCAGGGATACGAAGTGAAGTGTACTCTTTGTCACAAATGTTAGCGCGCAGAGCGTAGCCCACGCTCAACCTGGTGGATAACCTCCCAATTTCGTTCAGAAACCATATGCTATCGTCCCTAGTAGGTAGTCTGGAGTGGAAAGACCCAACTAGAACGCAGGAGCTTTGCCGTCGGGCCAACCGTGTTCCGGACAGGTCACCAAGTCGGCGAAAAAAAAACGGTGGCAAGGCGGGGAAAACATAGAAAGGTGTTAACTAGGATAGGGAAGGTTCCTGCTGTGGATAAACAGTCAACACTTGCATCTATTTCTCACCCTGTGTTTCTCCTGTGCGTCAGTATTGGTCTGAAAGAAGATACTGTTCCTTACAACGACATGGTAAATCTTTTAGAGTAATGTGCGATACACACTTTGGTTGTAGATTCTCTGGGTCTTGCAGGATTGCTCCGGGGCTGAATACCATTTGATTTCGCTGGAGTGGGTCGTATTTGAGCTGAGAATAATTTATTTTGATAGTTGATTTTTGTCGCTTCACGGACGTTGTAAGGTGGGGGGGTCGTAGTGGTACTTGCTCGTTGTTGGGGGGACGTACTTACTTTCTGGCCTTCTGGGAGAGGTGGTTGACTTTCCGTGATTTTCCTGTTTCATGTGTATTATGTACCCCCAAATTCTTTAACTTTTCGTAGAAGGTAGGAAAATTCTTCTGAAATTCTTAAAAAAGTGGCAGGGGGGTTGGGAAACGTCTGAGAAGTGCGTAGAGGGGAGCGGGGGGGGGGGGGGTCGTATTTTCCTCGCGGCTTTTCCCTATTCACATGTGCTATGATCCCTCTCGCTCAACAGCATCTTTAACCCAAAAAAGGGAGCGGGGTCGTACGACTCGACAAAATCCCTAACCATGTGCCCTGATGACACAACTTCCCCGCCAACCTAAACCTTGCGATGCTGGAGGGTTAAAAACCAGAGAAGAACCCCCAGCGAATGCGCACCAAAGAACTATGGATAATAGTTGACTTCAGTCGCTCCAATCGCAAAAAGATTTGGGGTTCGAGCCTAACGATTCATGTACTATGTAATAAAAGGAAGATCCGGATAATGGGAGTCGATCTATTCCCCTTGGTGCACATTACTCCTATTCGCACGTTCTTCGATTCTCCCAAAGTCACGAAGTATGAACGCAGCCTGATCGGTGGACTACGGCAACGGCGCCCTATTGCAATCCTCTAAACGCACGCTTATCCGAGCGTCCAGCCGCGAAGTATGAACGCACTCTCACTGCGCTGACCACAGCTGTGCAGAGCCAAGCGCAGCGCAAGAGTGACAACATATGGCGCGCTGAGAGCTGTAAGAAATAAAGTTTGAAGTTAGTGACATAAAATGTTCAATCCCACGCATAGATCACAAAAGATCTCCACAAAAATGGCAGTACTCAACTTGTGTCCGCTCAGCCTGATTCCTCCATAACATGTTTTGTTTGCCATTCGTTTACCATGAAGTTCAGTCTGACAGTCAAAGAAAGGGTATTAAGACGGTTGATGAACTCATAGAGGAGATTCTTGAGCTCGTTGATCTGCGACTTCCATATTCCCGCGCCAATTTGTCATTATTGTGATGGCACTTGCCTTCCACTGACCATCGGTTCCATTTCTGTATTGATTTTCTCAATATTAAAGTGCCAGTTGTTGTCTCATGTTGCTTATTCAAATATTTTTTTGTTTCTATTCGCGCTTCCCTCCTCCCGACTTTTATCGGTCACCACTCATAATAAGAATTCTTCTTAGATAAAAAATCCTTCACGCATTCCAGCTATGGGACTGATATCCTCCTTCATTCTGGTATGTACTATCACCTCCATTGTCTACTTCATCGCTAAACATATGAAATTAAGAGAACGACTGAAGGTAAGTCTTTTCCTGTGGAAAAGTCAATTCAAAGGATTCTTCCCTGAAATTTACTGATTAGAATAAATCGTGGTCGAAACAAATGAGAGTCAAGCGCGCAGTCGCGGAGCGGATGTCGCGGTTGGCACGTATTTGGGCGTAATGTTTGACTGTTGGCAAGTGCCCTGTCGCCGCCGCAATAGCGATCGTTCTAATTATGCTAACGGTCTGCTGACCGCTTCGCAACCGCCTGCTTAATATACATATGTTTTGCCCTCGAAAGAGGTCGTAATTGACACCGTTTATACTTTCTCATATGTAAGGCTGCGTCCATACTCGAGTCAGCGCTCCAGTCACGCGCTTTTACTGGTCGTAGAAACTGTTGGACTGTTGCGATTGCCAGTTCAATCCCAGCGGTCCAACGACTAGCGGTGGAGCGCGGTGAGCGCAGTCCCGCGCGACTGAATAGCCCGAGTTGTGATGTATGAACGTGACGCTGATGTGGTGCGCTCGTTGGTACCGTTTGAGAACATCGTATTGAACGTGGCCTGATGTGTACGCTCGTTGGTACGTTTCGAGAACATCGTTCTCAGGATAGGTTTTTAGGGAATCAATTGCCCACGTTCATATCCTTTGATTGGGCATGGATTGATTATGAAACCAGATATGGAAGGGTTTATCAACCAGGTAGTTTTATCGGCTTTGGTACTTTTTTCAAAAATTTCGTGTAGTATTAAGTTGTGGTTAAGGTTATGGGCATGGCCTATATGTATCCTGATTCACCGCGAATGGTTCTTTTCTGGCTAGGACCTGTACCTGTGGTGATGTTGTATTCAGCACGTCTGGCCGAGAAAATCCTCACTTCCAGCAAGCATCTGAGCAAAGGCTACGCTTATAGTCTACTAGAGGCATGGCTTGGACAAGGTATAATTACGAGGTTGGTGCATTTATCTTGATAAAGCTTGCATAAACATGATCGCCGGATATTTCGGGTATGTGACAAGAGAATCGTAATTCGCCGCGCTGTGGCGTCGCATGCGACGTCGCGCCCGCAAATGACGATGGTTACAGGTAGTAGATGGCGACAACAGGCAATTCAGAACCGAAATAGTCATGAATGTCTACAATGACGGGGGTCTATAATACATGAAGTTCGGTGCTCCAATCTACAGGTTAATACGAGTTAAGAAAACGCCGCGCCCATCGCCGCGCGCGGCGGAGCGGCAAATTACGATTCTCTTGCCCGTCTCCCGGTATAATGTTGCCGCACAAAAGTGACGCTTGCTTTTACTGCCCAATTCGTCCTTCGTTAGGCACATCGGTCAATGCGGGCCTGCTTCAGTACATGTTTTTCATTGTCGCGCTTCTCGCGACTGAAGAAATACCCACGGACGGACGACCATATCATTCTGCCTTTACAAATAGGCGTCTATGCTACTCTTAGACTTTCCTAAACTGTTGAGAGCCAAGGGCTTTTGGGGAGGACCGCGCGTAGAGACAAGGTCGTACTCACTCCGTTCGTTTACGCTCTCGAATTCTAAGCGCTTGGGAGAAACAACTATCTTCTCGGCGAGAGGGCGCAGACCAGCGGAAAAGGCCACTCCGCCCAGGTTCCTACGGCTCCAACTTTCATGGTCCCAAATGTTATTATACTTTGTGTTGTTCCAGAGGCTGATGAATGGCTTGTCCCAACTGTTACACCTAATGGTGCTGAAATTGTCTAAAATTGTTATTGGGCTCGGGATATCTGGACTGCGAGACTACGCCGCGTGCGACTTCTATTGTTTGCGTTCCTGCTCTCCTTTCTTTTTCCACGACTCAGCCCTAGGAAGGGGAACTTCACACGCCTAATCCAGCTGTCTGCTACCCTTCCACTTTCTCATATCTTCCAGTCCTACGCTGCTGTACGCTGCCAAGCGCTGGTGAACAATGGCATGGCGATCCCTAGGGCAATTTCTATACTTTCCTGGTCGCTAGCGAACGCTCGAAAACTGGCGATTGCCGGTGGGTGGTGGTGGTCACTGGTGGACGTATGGAATGAACGCAGCCTTGGTGGTGATACGGCCTGAGCCGCGTGCGTTTCGCGGAGCAGATATGCCACGTCGTCCAGTTGAACCACGTTGGCACCTTCTTACTTTTACAGCCAGTATAATGCTGATGCCGTTACTTTTTTGGTTTGGTTTGATAATGGAGCAATTTCATTGGATGATTGATAGTAGATCTGGTTTTGAATTTACTCAGCAATTCTACTGAATGATTTATAGTAACGTTGACAATTGGCGACCCAAGCGTAAACTACTCACGCCAACGTTCCACTACGACATTTTGAAGGATTTTGTCCCGATTTTTAACGAGCAAGCGCAAATTTTAGTCAAAAAGCTTGCTAGTCTTCCCGCAGGGTACGTTTACACGAAGATTTCCTTTGCCTTTCCTTTGATAACCTGAAAATTGATTTTCAAGGGAACCGGTAGAAATTCAATCTCATATCACTTTGTGCGCTCTTGACATAATTTGTGAGACATCAATGGGAAAAACGTTGAATGCTCAGTTGGATGAGGTTTGATTGCTTTACGTTGTTCGTCTAGAGCATCTGGCGAAGTTTGGCTTGGCAGAGGCATCAAATGGTACTGTACCGGGTACCGGAGCTTGTACAGACTACCATGAGAAAACCTGTAAATTCCTGTCACTAGTGCAGTTTTCTTTTACCAATTTGCAGCTTCACTAAACCACAGGTCTTACCAAGGTAAAACATGTTAGTTAACACGTTCCGGATCGCGTGACACACATGGTGTGTCATACAATTTCCTCTCTGCGCCGTTTCGTATGCTTGCATATTGTTTACGCTCCATAATTATCAGAACATGATTTTTAGACCCCGCATACATATTTCTCATAGGAAATTGAAAGAAACAGATGAAAATACTGATTATCGACTTAGAAAATAAATAATAAATAAAATAGAAATAATCGGAGATCCTCGCACAACGGCGATCCGGAATGTGTCAATATGAACTAACGAATGGAACTAGCAAAGGTGCAAAATGCTCCTCCCAAGCCGGACAGCGCCAATAATTCCTATCTTTCCTGGTATTGTTACAGGAAAGCGAATACGTGAAAGCTGTTCACACTATCAATGATTTAGTACAGGAAAGGACTAAGAATCCGCTAATGTGGAACAATTTCATCTACAACAAGTAAGTCTTGCGCTGTTTCGTTTTATTGGTTTATGGCACATTGCACCAGCTATTCCTAATCCCGCGATAACGGATCCGGCAAGTAGGGGCGGGGCCTTATCTCTCCATACGTTTCTTCGCTCATCCGATTATCATGATAAATCTTCCCGACTGGCGCACCTTTCTTGACTGTCTTAGGAAGGGGATTGATCAGGTAGGCACGAATCTCAAGAGCTTCTTCCCATCCAGTTGTCGCGGAATGGGTCTTTAGCTGTATGGGATCCTCAACAATTGGTTAAGACGTATGATGCCGTGCTGCCTTATATTGCCCAAAACATCGGCCGTGAGTCCCCTTACACGACGGCTATGGAACGCATATCCTACGCCGAACATTTTGCCCGGATCACTTTACCTTCTGACAGTCAGGTATAAGTTGACCATGCCCATGATCGCGTCAAATAATACAGCAGGGTCGGCGGCAATTTCGAAATGGAACACGGTTAAATCAACAGTGATAGACAAGCTATAGATCGTAGAAATATCACAAGTGAGTGCTATCCTAATGGGGAGGGGCATTTGTTTTGAAGCTCTAGAGAACCACTTGAAAATATGAGTTGAAAAAATGGAGGTTTTGCCGAAGCCTAGGGGCGACAGAGGAAAGAGACATAGGTGGAGCACTTCTCACTGAGTGCCTTTTTGCGAGTCAATAATGACGTCCAGATGGACGCATACTAACTCGTTTTTCATTTTTTTTTCGTTTTCTGCCTCTCTGACATCACCCTTGTCAGTGATGCCACTACTTGATGAGGGTATTGGGTAAATAGTTCTGTCATGATAATCTCTGTATATAGTCATCTAAACCGTTCCTTAAAGGCAGTGGATACCATTGCTGGAGGCGGGCGGTTGTTGCCAGCATCATTGGTTGTCACACCTTCCCACAAAGCGTTGGGCAGTTTAGCTTCCCGTGGCTTCAGCAGCTGTGCTCACTGACTTCAGAGGCAGTTTCCGCACTCAACCTATTCATAGGTGTTCTTCCTTGTTTGAGTAGTCTAGCCTGCAGTCTCTAAGATTGTCTCGTGGCTTCAAATCAAGTAACAAGGGAGCTGCTGCCCTCATAGGTGGCAGTTCTGACGCCTGCCTACTGGTCCCGCCCACCAAAACTCACGGGCTGTTTTCTATCACGAGCTAAGTTTTCACACCTTTTTTTTCGTTTCTTTTCCACCATTAGTTGGCTTAAGCGCAGGATGGCGCCAATAAACGCCTAGTGAGTCAGAGGAGGTAGAATCGCTTTACTGGTATGAAACGAGGATGTCCGAAGAAGGGATTTGATAACTAGCCGTGCCTACCCTGGTTTTCCGCGCTTTGTTATTACCGAACCTGGAAAGGAAGGGAGATCCTTCTCCCCGCGGGAGTGCTCAGAAGAGAAGAAAAGATTGCTTGGCTTCCCAGGGGCCACTTATTGTTTCCACCTTTCTCTAATTTCTCTCAAAAATTAGTTTGGAAACTTTATTATTCCTTGGACGACATACTGTTTTCTGATAAATATTTCAACATATATTCATAATAATCTCCTGTTTCGGTTTTTACTGCTCCGTCACTTTTCCTGGTTGGTAAACTTTTGGACCTGGAATAAATAGAAGTTATGACTCGAACTCGCCTATACCATTGTAAATTCACCTTTTACTGCTTTCTTCGCCTTCTTTCGATTCACTCACTCGTTTCCTTAGGCGCTTCCCAGTTGAAGCTTTGAAATCTTGTCCATCCTGAAATTCAGTGGAATCATATGAAGTATATGGAAGGATGTCCATTGATCCTGTTACCTGGTATCTTCTTCTTTTGATCTCGTCTTCCCACGCTTCACAAGGAGAACATATATGGCCAATCCCACATGGGTCGCTAAGAAACTGGTCTCCAACGGCCTTAATAAGAAATCGTTAATTGTGGACGTTATGAGAGGTGCTGTACAGTAGAACAAACCTTTATGGGTTTCCAAGTTTTCATTCTTTTACACGCTACACATACGTACACATCGGCACTCCGACCTTTTCGTGCTAACGAGAAGGTGTACGAAGATGCAAAACCTGGAATTTTATATGTCAAAACTTCCCTTTTACCTTGCTTACTTACCTCTCTATGTCCTTTGTAGGTGGGTGGGTCTGCTAGAGAAGCAAGACCGCTCAAATGAAATTCATCAGATGCTGAAGTCGGCACATCCTGTAAAGTATTTGTAGGGCCCTCATGAGGACCATATAAGTTGGGGAGCATGATAAAATCGTAAAGAAGAACACAAAAAGAACACAGATGTGAATGACATGGGAATATGTGGTCTATTTATAGGAGCCACGAGCAAGTGATGACCCATTTTGGGTCTTTACTCCTTTTGTGTGGAGGATAATGTGTACCCCTTGGACACACTCAATGAGAAATACCAGCCCGCACTTTCCTCACTTACTTCTGGGTATGTGGCAAGTGTCCCATTAAGGTCACCCAGCCTCCATGGGTACTTCGCCGCAAGCGGCGATCTCCGGGTTATTACCAAAGATCTCTAATGTAGTCCTTAATGGTTTTGTGGAATGTATTAATGCATTTATTTTTAGGTTTGGAGATGGCGAAAAGGAACAGAAATGCATCGAGATCCTGCATTCCTTCACCCGCAAGTTAAATTCTGTTCTTTGTTTGGAAGGGATTTGATCATATATTGCAACTCCTCCATTCAATTTGAATTTTTCTTGTTGTTTAGGTGATAGCCGAGCGTCAGCAGGAACTAGAAAAGAGGCAGTGGCGCTTTGATGGACGTCTCGCATTTCTAGATCTTCTTCTAGACATGGCCAACAGTGGACAGCTAGATCCTAGTGAGATTCAAGGAGCAGGTGAATTTCTATTGAACCCACGGCGGAGGCCTTGTGGAGTGCCCCCCCCCCTCCCCTTCCCCTTCTTTCCCTGCCCAAGTTAATCAGCTCCGAGAGCACTGATCCAGAAAGTCGAGGTCATGGAGCTAGCTAGATGGCGAAAAGGTTGGAACTACCAAGGAAAGCCTGGGCTCAAGAATTTGCTCTGACCAGGAAAGGTCAACAGGTCAGCCTGGCCATTTGCAATGAGATGCACATCGTTGTACCCGTCTTGAGACGGTGAACTCAAAACTATCTTCAAAATTTGCGGAACGATTCTCTGAGCGGAGTTAGAGAGGTTTTTCTTACT